CAAGGCTCTACCTCCTGTGGCTAACACCGAATCTCCTGTGACCATGCCTCCCGCTCCTGCAGCCAAGACTCTCCCTCCTGTGGTCAAGCCTCCCGCTCCTGCAGCCCAGGCTCTACCTCCTGTGGTCAAGCCTCCCGCTCCGGCAGTCAAGGCTCTACCTCCCGTGGCTAACACCGAATCTCCTGTGACCATGCCTCCCGCTCCTGCAGCCAAGGCTGTCCCTCCTGTGGTCACGCCTCCCGCTCCTGCAGCCAAGGCTCTCCCTCCTGGGGTCCGGCCTCCCGCTCCGGCAGTCAAGAGTCTCCCTCCAGCGGTTAAGCCTCCTGCTGCTGCAGCCAAGGCTCTCCCTCCTGCGGTTAAGGCCGGATCTCCTACGACCGAGACTCCCGCTCCGGCAGCCAGGAATTTCCCTCCTGCGGTCAAGACCGAATCTCCTCTGCTCAAGCCTGCCGCTTCTACGGCGGAGTCTCTCCCTCCTCCCGTCATGCCGCCCGCCCCTCCGGTCAGGTCGCTCGCTCCTTCGGTCAAAGCTCTCCCTCCTGTGGGCAAGCCTCCCGCCCCTGTAGCCAAGGCTACCTCTCGTGGGATCAAGGCCGAACCTACTATAGTGAAGGCTGCCACCCCTGCGGCGGAGCCTTTCCCTTCTATGGTGAAGCCGGCCGGTCCTGGATCCGGGGCTCTCTCTTCTGAGCCCAAGGCCACACCTCCTGAGACCAAGGCTGCGTCGGTCAAGCCTCCCGCTCCGGCATCCATGGCTACCGCTACTGTAGCCAAAACTACCGCTCCTGCGGTCAAGGTCGAACCTACTATAGTGAAGGCTGCCGCCCCTGCGGCGGAGCCTTTCCCTTCTATGGTGAAACCGCCCGGTCCTGCATCCAAGGCTCTCTCTTCTGAGCCCAAGGCCACACCTCCTGAGACCAAGGCTGCGTCGGTTAAGCCTCCCACTCCGGCATCCAAGGCTACCACTCTCACCCCGATCTCCTCGGCTCCCGCCCCGACCTCTTCCGCTCCCGCGCCGACCTTCGTTCGGAAGGTGCCGTCCGCGGAGAAGGAGTTGGGCACGAATCTGACGATCAGCCAACCTGCCCCCGCTGCGAGTGACGAGAAGCCACCAGGACGGCAGTCTTCTACCAGGCCGCCTTCGACGTCGCACGGGAGACCGCTGGCCGCGACGGCTGCAACTTCCTCCGGGGTGTCCGCCCTGAAGAAGGCACCGGCCACCGAGCCAGAGACCACTGGGCTAAGGGCAAAGGCAGCCTTCGTGTCAAAGGCCGCCTCGACCCCCGCGCCTATCCCTAAGGGAGCAATCGCCAAGGGAGGAACAGCCCAGGAAGGAAAAGCCAGCGGAGCAACCGCCAACAGAGGAGCAGCCAAGGGAGCAACTTCGCCTCCGAAGGCGTTCTCCATCCCTGCGTCGAAGCAAGAGCCGCCCGTGCAGTCGCCCGCGGTTGCTACGACCGTGGTTGGTACGGCCAAGGTTGGTACGACCGAGGTGGGTGCGAGCAAGGTTGGTGCGAGCAAGGTTGGTGCGAGCAAGGTTGGTGCGAGCAAGGTTGGTACGACCGAGGCTGGTACGACGAAGGTTGGTACGACCGATGTTAGTATGGCTAAAAATGGCGCTGGCCAGGCGGGCGCAGTTAAGAATGTGGGTCCTAGGTCCGCCGCCAGGTCCGAGCCGCTTACTTCTTCGGCGGCGACCGGCTCGTCGGTTGCTGAAGTGGTAGTGAAGAGGCAAGGCTCTGGCGAAGTGTTGGCTGTCTCCCGATCGTCCGAGACGGAGAAGACGGGAGGGAAGAAGCGTCTAGCTAAGAAGAAAACACTGAAGAAGAAGCAGCATAACTCGGTATCGGAAGGGAACTCGACCCGGGCGGGAGACAGTTCCACCCGAGCCGGTGATAGTTCCGTTCGCGCAGGAGACAGCGCTACTGGGGACCGACCTGCCACGAAAAGCCCACCCGTGAAAGCACCCCTCAGATCGGGGACCACCGACGGAACGCCTACCAGGAAGGACACGACCAGGAAAAATACGACTGGTAAAGGCACGACTCCAGCGTTTAGCTTCCTTTCGTGGTTGGCTGGCGGCGACCCAGTGGCGGGAGAGATCAGCAGCGCGCAAGGAAGCGCAACCTCGGCGGAATCTGTAGCGGTAGCCGGCTCCCCCAGACCGACAACCGATGCTGGCGGTGAGGACTCCGTTTCAAGTCCCGCTCCGGACTCAGTTTCGGACCCACACGAAGAGACGCTCGCGACCACATTACTGGGAGCACTGAGCGGTTGGACGAAGGAAGAAGAACCGGCCGTCCCGGGCGAAGAAGAGAAGGAGGAGGAGGAGCCGGCCTTCGCCACAGCATTGTTGAGTGCCTGGGAAAACTGGGGCCGTCCCACTGAACCCGAGGAAGAAGAACCGGCCGTCCCGAACGCAGAAGAGAAGGAGCCCGCCGTCCCGAACGAAGAAGAGAAGGAGCCCGCCTTCCCCACAGCGCTGTTGAGTGCCTGGGAAAACTGGGGCCGTCCCACTGAACCCGAGGAAGCCGAGGAGAACCGCCGCTTATCCCTCGTTGATGCCGAAAGTCAAGTTGCAAGTAACGGAGTCAAGAAAGCCCAACGGGAGAGTGCGATAGGACGCCTCGCGTCACAGCCAAAGGACGCGGATCGATCATCGGCCGTGACACCTCGTAAAGGAAAGCCCGATGACGGTGCTACTTCGCTTGATGTTGCTCCGTCTGATGACGGTGCCACTTCGCTTGATGGCGGTGCCACTGACTCCGGACTCTGGCCCGACTTTAGCTCTTGGGGCTTAGCCTCAACAGGCATCGCCGATGCCGCTATCACCGGCCTTACTAACGCTTCAGCTTTGGCTTCAGAGCTCGTGCAATCCGCATCAACTTTGCCCCAAGATTTGACCTGAAGAGCCAGACTTGAGGAGTCGACCTTCCGCCCGATTTTAGTCTCAGGTGCGGCCGCAGCCTTCGGATCCTACTCTGACCGCAGAACTTCGCACACGTGAGAATAAACCGTGGCGAAGAAAACGGATTCAGAAACCAGCTCCTCTTCCGTACCTAAGACACTGGCTTTGTCCCAGCACTCTTCTAGAAGGTTATCCGCCCATTTTGTTTTGATGGCACTCCAAACCTCACGATTGGATGGCAAGTAGAGCCGACGTCGCTGCATTCTACGTAACCGGAGCCGACGTGCAATAGCGTCGTCTGCCCACGCGCGAAAGTTTGTGACTTCTTGAGTGTTGTTGTACAGCACAGGTGGGTAGGAATGCAGCGGATACGTAGGCTGACCACGGCAAGGTAGCTTGGACGCTGCATACCCGGCCAATTCTACCACCGAGGGAACACGCTTCACAGAACGGATGTACCTGACAGGTAGTACGTGAAACAAGTCGTACTTGAGGACGTCGTAGGCCCACATCAACGTACACAAAGGAAGCGGCGGCGCTGGAGATTTTCTTGAGATTCTAAATGGTACCCCTAATTCGCTAATATCATCCGGCACGACGCCTGACTTCAGCACCTCGGATTTCGCAGCAGTGGTAGCGTCACGAATGTGCCGCCGTAATTTGTCTTTCGCAGACGCCGGCCCACGGGATTCGGCCCTCCGAATCGGCTGCACCTCACTACAAACGACAACGGAAGGGGTGTTTGAAGGGGGGGTCCAGTCCTTAAGCAAGTAGTCAATAACCATCTGGGTCACCAAAAGTTTGTCGGAATCTGGTATGAGTCCTACCGTAGCTATCTCATCCACAATCTCATCAACTTCCATAATACAAGGTTTAAGCTTATTACCTTGCGCTTCAAAATATTCCATAATCATTTCATGACGCTTGGGGGCATCCCTGGACTCGAACGCACGCGAACCCAAGTGCACATCTGACCCCACCGGACCGTACAGACGGATTGAGTAGCACGGGAGATGCGTCACTCCATTCGCCCACACTTTACCGACCCAATAGTCCTCTCGACTTCCGCACCCGTATCCTCCCCCTCTCATCCTTGATATGAGATCTCCGTATTTCATCCACGACAACCGGTTCTCGACAGAATCGAAGTCGCGTTGGCGTGAACAGCGCATGGCCCGGACCCAACTGCTGAGCCCCGGTGGAATCCGGTGCGTGTGACGGTCCCTGTGACCGTCCATATGACTGCTGCATTGACCCCAAGTTCGTATATGTTCACAAAGACGGCAGAGAAGACGGCATCTTAATTCCTGCCACGATAAAATTTTTTGTCCATGACTGGTCTCTGCCATAGCACTTTCGTCCATTTGACGGTCAATGAACAGGTCTCGCATGCTGAGGAATAAAGCCTCTTTAAACTCTCTTGCAAATTGGTCAAATCCAAATTGGTCAGACCAGATTTGATAATGTCGTCTGAACACTGTTTCGAACACTTCTTCTGTGAACGCTATTCTTTCCGTATGGTCTTCAGAGGAACATTCATAATAGGACATGGTAGGAATTTGACCTGGTCCGATCTTAGCAGCAATTCGGGCAAGGGTAGCAACTGTTCGACAACCACCTTGCCGCTCCCACTCTTGTTTAACTACGTAGGGGATCATATGATCCCAATCATTGAGAAGAATGTCATAAGCCCAAGACCAAGAGAAGCCGTACAACCCCTGCTGCGGAATGACAGAATCGCGCAATTCCCTTTCCGTTGACTTCCAATCCGTCGGACCCGTTAAAAGAAAGGCATATCCTCTCACACTCACTTGGTCGTTCTCGCAATCCATTGAACCGCCACCGTCGAGCAACGCTCGTAATAGAGACAAACCCGCAACCATTACACCAAGGGCCACCCTGCACTGTTCGGCTTCGCTACCACGCATAACGCTACCACGCATAACGCTACCACGCATAACGCTACCACGCATAACCCTCCCTGATTAAATAAATATTACCCCACAATTGTCTTCCCAACAATGGCCCGAGAGATGGCCCGAGAGACGGGACCGCCAACATTCATGCTACCACTTTTTTCATCAACTTCCTTATGCTTATTGCCAGGGCTTATGCTTGTTGCCTTCGTCATTGAGAAATGGCATTTCGGGGGTCTCCGAGCCCATTGTCGGACCTCCATGTGACCTGCCGTCCGTCTGTTCGGACGGAGTAACCCGATAGATTTTATTCGACCACACAGTAGTGATGCAGCGCCCTCCATTCATCAGCGCCCTCCATTAATCAGTGGTATAATATCTCCAGATTTTGTACGAGTTGTTGTACTGATTGTTCACTTAAGACATCTCGTGACCGAACACGAACCGGGTCGCTCGCAGTTATCTGATGTGGATTAACACGCACGTGGGGCACTGACCCAGTGTTTGGTAACACGCACTCCAGCCATTCTCACACGCGTGTTATTCATTACTAGTTAGTTGTAAAAGTTGTTTGCTATCAGCACCACCTTGGTTCCCCCCTAAGAACTTCGCAAACATGAGAATAAACCATCGCCAGAAAACGGGTTTCGGAAATTAGTTCATCAGGGTTACCTGTCCGCTTGGCCTTTTTCCAACATGTCTGGAGAAGGCTATTGGCCCACATAGTTCCAGAGAGTCGCCAAATTTCGTCATAAGTTGGCAAACAGAGCTGGCGTCGTTCAGTTTCATTTGAATGAATCTGGCGTTCAATCGCATCGTCGGACCACGCGCGAAAATTGGTGACTTCATTCTGATGGTTATAAAGTGCCAGCGGGTAGGAGTTCAGTAGGGATATGTGCTCCCCACGTTTGGGTAAGCGGGACTCTGCGTACTGGGCTAGCTCTACCACCGAGGGAATACGCTTACAACATCTGATATAAGACTGTGGTAGCACATGGAGCAAGTCGTACTTTAGGATATCATAAGCCCACATCAATGGGCCTAGATGAAGCGACGGCGCCTGAGAGTTTCTTGAAATGACAAACGGTACCCCCAACACACTTATATCTTCCGGAACAACACCTGACTCCAGCACCTCAGACATCGCATCAACGGATAACTTCTTAATACGAATCTGCGCACCATTCTTAAAAGACCTCGCTTCACGATCCCCGGTCCTTGCTTCACGATCCCCGGTCCTCGCTTCACGATCCCCGGTCCTCGCTTCACGATCCCCGGTCCTCGCTTCACGATCCCCGGTAATTTTATCAGACTCTGACCACACAATTTTTGACGACACTGCGTTTGATGGCGGCATCCAGTGCTTTAACAAGTAGTTAATGAGCATCTTGGTTAGCAGGATTTTATTGCAATCCGGCTCTCTCTCAGCAATTTCATCTACAAGGTCATCTACTTCTTTATTTTGGGGCTTAAGCTGATTGGCTTCCTCTCCGAAAAATTCCCAAATCGCTTTTGCGTAAGTAGTGGCATAGCGGAACAGAGACGAATTAGCACCCGGCGCCGAATTGTACAAACGGGCTGAGTAACACGGGAGATGTGAGATTCGATTTGACCAAACTTTATTGCTACATTGTTCTCGATTTATAGTTGGCAGTATTGAAATGACATCCCCATATTTCAGCGCAGCCATTCGCTTCCAAAATCCGACACAGCCCCGGGCCCGGGATATGAGTCCAGACCATCGAACAATCCCGTCCGGAATGCTGTCCACCTTGCCGGACTGATTGGTTGCTCTTGCGTGATTGCAAACATAGTAGAGGAGACGCTCCTTTACTTCCCGCCATGTCTTCGTTTGTATTCCCGTACCATCTATAGTACCATCTGTAGTACCATCTATAGTACCATCTGTAGTACCATCTATAGTACCATCTATAGTACCATCTATAGTACCATCTGTAGTACCATCTGCCGGGCAGGTATCACCCGCATAATTATTCTGTCGATCAAGAAGAAGGTCTCGCAGTCCGAAGAACAACGCGTCTTTAAACTGGTCTGCAAATTGAAGAAAATCCGACCACGATTGATCCTGGCGCTTCGCTACTATGTCGAACAATTCTTCAGTGAACGATACGCTTTCCGTTTCATCTTCCGTGCTAGGTAAGTAATATGATAGTGTAGGTATCATCTTTGGTCCAATCCTAGCAGCAGCACGGGCAAGAGCGGCAACTGTTCGAGAACCACCTTGTCGGTTCCATTCCTCATAAACTTTTTTAGGGATCATATGATCCCAATCATTGAGAAGAATATCTTTCGCCCAAGACCAAAAAGGACCGTATAACCCCTGAAGCGGAACGACAGAATCCCATAACTCATCCTCACATGAATTCCAGTCATTAGGTCCTAGCAACGCAAAGGCATATCCATTTGCACTTATTTGATCATTCTCATGCTCCTTCGTATTCCCAATACCAATTAAAGCTCGCAACAGAGATAAACCCGCCATAAGCACTATTGCATTCAACTTGGTCTGTTCAGCTTTGCTGCTACGCATCGAACTCTGATAAAATAATTTTTTGGACCGCAAGAGTTAGTTAGCTCGCTCAGCGGAGTTCAATGGCCACCGACCGCCATCACCATGTGATTGATGCATAGCTAGGGGCACGGTGGCGCGTGAAGCAAATACATGAAGCAAATGTAGGAGATGGAAGGAAAAAAAATGTGTGTTAAGTGTGTGTTGAGTGTTTTATACACTTGGTATTCTTTACATAAAAAATTCAGAGCGCGGGTAAATTAAGAAGAAGCGGGGTCATATCGTATAGCCTCGCATATGTGCGAATAAACGATGGCCAGAAAGACGTGTTTGGGTACCATCTCATCTGGTTCACCGACTTGGCTCGCATTACCCCAGCACATTCCTAGAAGACGATCCGCCCACGCTGATCTAGCCAAGCCGCATAGATCGTTAGAATCGGGTAAACACAGTTTTCGTCGTTCCATGGTCTGTGATCGGAGGAGCCGATGTTCGATGGCGATATTTGACCAGGTGCGAAAGTCCGTGACTTCCTGAAAGTCGTAGTATAATTCAGATGGGTAACAACCAAGTTGTCGTTGCTTGCGTAGCCTGGTCGTTGCATACATAGCCAGTTCTACAACCGAAGGAATTCTTGTCAAAGAGTATTGGTAAGGTGTTGGTAATACATGGAGTAAGTCGTACTTGAGGACGTCGTAAGCCCACATCAGCGCACCCAATGGAACGAGTCGTGGAAATTCTCTTGAGATAACAAATGGCATACCTAATCCACTAATTTCCTCTGGCATGATGCCTGACTCGAGTGCCTGAGACTTAGCCAAAAAAATCAACTTATCCATCCGGGTCTGCGCAGAAAATCTGTGGCGGCTCTCTCGACGACGTATCTTAGCCGCCTCTACGGCAAATATGTCCTCTGTAGGCACCTCTGTAGACATCTCCGTAGACACCTCGGTAGACACCCGCACGATCATCCCATCAGGAGATTGGAATAACACATTGCTGGCTTGCGGTGTAGACATTTCTGATCCTGCGACAGATACCGTCCCCGAAAAAGACGGAACCATCTCTCGACACGCAACGATCTCATCCGGAGATACTGTGCTTGAAGGCGGTGTCCAATCTCTCAGTATATAGTCAATTACTCTTTCCGTCAGCCCGAGCCTGGCCCAATCCGGCAAGAGTTCTTTCCTAATAATTTCAGCTACAATTTCGTCCACTTCGTTCGTCAGAGGCTTAAGCTGATTACCTTTCTCTTCGAAATACGCCCTGGTCGCCCTTCGGCAGGACTCGACAGCACGGTAACCGGAGCGGTCCGGACGTTCATCTGAGTCCAGCGGACCGTACAGACGGACTGAATAACACGGCAGATGCGAGAGTCGATTTAACCATACCGTATGGATACAGCTCTCTAGATTCGTTACTGGTAACGCTGATATGATATCTCCATATTTTATGCTGGCCAGTCTCTTCTCAAACTCTCTTTTCCCGATGATATTTCGGACCTTCCGAATGTTGCGGGCCCATTCTTTGATTCCCGTTGGAATCTTTATTGGAGTCTTGTTTTTTTGGTTGGCTCCAGTTCTCCTTCCCTCGTCACAAAGCCGGTGGAGAAGACGTCTTTTTATTTCCTGCCACGACTCCACTTTCACTTCTTGCCCCTGGGCTTCCATGCTACCTACGGTACCGTCCTTTACATGATCAAGAAGAAAGTCTCGCATGGCGAAGGACAAAGCGCCTTGGAACTCTCTCGCAAATAGGCCGAATCTAAGACCATCCGCTTGAAGACAGTGACGACTCGCCACTGACTCGAACACTTCTTCTGTGAACGCTATTGTTTCAGTATCATTTTCAGACGAACAATCATAATAGGACATGGTAGGAATTTGAACTTGTCCGATCTTAGCAGCAATTCGGGCAAGGGTAGCAACTGTTCGACAACCACCTTGCCTCTCCCACTCTTGTTTAACTACGTAAGGAATCATATGGTCCCAATCATTCAGAAGAATATCATGAGCCCAAGACCAAAAAGGACCGTATAACCGCTGCTGTAGAATCACTGAATCACCTAAGTCCCTCTCCGATGACTGCCAGTCCGTGGCACCTGTCAATATAAACGCGCGTCCAGTAACACTCACCTGCTCATTCTGGCACTCCATAGAACCTCCGTATCCAAGCAATGCACGCAATAGAGATGAGCCCGCCATCATTACACCTTCAACGCCGCGCTGTCCAGCTGTGATATTACGCATGCCAGTTGTTGAATTAAAAATTACCCAAAATTTTGGACGAACACGCCGCCAGTTATGATGACTCAGAAGTACATCAGCAGACAGGTTCAAAGAACCGTCATATATATCATCCATCCCCTCTCACACACACACACGACCCCTCCGACGACCAAGAACAAGGTCTCGCAGACCGAAGATTAAACCGTCTTCAAACTTGACTGCAGCTCTTCCTACAAATCTCGCAGGACATGTTGCTGGGTTCCGTTGGCGTCCATTCAAGATGTGCTTGTGGCGTGCGACGTTCACCACCACGGTGAGGTCGGAGTCCGAGATACCTTAATTTCAATCACTACCTGTAGTTCTCGGGCAGTCTCACGCAGAGGTAGTGATTGAAATTAAGGTATCTCGAACACCGAACCTCACCGTGATGGTGAACGCCGCATGCCACAAGCAGATTTTGAATGGACGCCAACGGCAACTCTAGACAACGGAACCCAGCAAGTACAACACATAGTCGCTACTGCCCCAATTAGTTGCTTCAAGGCCGCCATGTTCACTCTAGCGTCTGCATGCGAGAAGGGTGGCAAGACTTTCTCCACAACTTTTACGTCGTAGCCAGGGTTCTCACTGGTACGCAAACCATTCGGTGTTGGTGAGTGCCCGGATATAAGCGTCTTCTGTGGCACGGTTCAAGTACTGCGCAAGGCAATTCATACTCACCACCAGATCCGGATCCAATAGGGTACATATTACCACTATCTCCCATGTTGATGTACAGGCACCTAAACTTCTTGCTCACCTCAAAGAAGAACCGGGACTTGCCCTACTCACTAGACTGGGCCAAAGCCCCCACCGACACCGTGGTCTGCTGCGATTGTCATGATGGTCATCAAGGTCTCTGGAGCAACACTCTCCTATCTGGACACATACTTATCGCGAAATGCAGCTTTGCAATCCACCAACCGCTGCGAGACATGACCCCCTAGTGAGGCAGGAATCGTTTCTGACATAAGCCCTTTCAGTGTGAGGAGAATCATCCGTTCCAGCCTTCAGACTCTTCTGCACTGCAACGCGTCGGGGGTAAAAGCGTCGATCCGGCTTTCCCGTTTGCTAGGACTCTATCCGCAATTGGCGTCTAGCTCAACCTTCCCAGCCTTTCGCGCAGTCCAAGCCGGACCTTTCAGTAGGTAGCAGAGCGGAACTCGAGCCATTATTATTGGTGAGTTTTTTTCCTGGAAAAGTCCCGCAGGTGCGCGGTAAAAAAATTGTGCGAAAATAATCTTGAAGGGGATGATTTGCTCTGCTTCCGTGGTCGGGGGGTGGCATTAGGGATGCTTCTCATCACTACTGCCATCTGTCAGTTTTTGGTGTGCTGTAGAAGTTGGAGGATCGCAGAACTTCGCACACGTGCGCGTATACCATTGCAAGAAAAACAGGTTCCGAAAGCAACCCCTCCGGCGTCCCTGTGGAGCTGGCCTTGTCCCAGCACATCTGTAGCAGGGGACCCCCCCATGCATCTGCCTTGTTGATTTCATCGAGGGTTGGCAAACATAGTTGACGGCGCTCCGTTTCAGACTTTGTTGCGCGTTCCAACATCTTGGCGATCGCGCGGTGCGCTGGGTCGCGGAAGTCTTTGACCGTTTCCAGGTCGTTGTAGAGTGCCAGAGGGAACGCGCCCAGGACACTATGACGCGCCTGTCGTTTAGGTAGTCTGGAGGCGGCATACTCGGCCAGTTGGATTACTGAGGGTATCTGTTCCATACTGTCCAGGTAATCAGACGGCAACACATGAAGCAAGTCGTACTTGAGGACGTCGTAAGCCCACATCAACGCTGCCAAAGGAAGCTTACGCGCTGGAGGCGTTGACAGAAGGAATGGCATGCCCATCGCGCTGATCTCCTCGGGTACGAGACCTGACTTTTGCGTCTCATATTTGGCTAGAGAAACGCAGATGTTGAGGCGTTTGCGAGAACGCGGCTCGGCTGGACGCTCTTGATCATATCCTTCTCGAGGAACGTCTCGGACAGGAGTACCATAAAGAAAGATCTGGTCCTCTGACGACTCTGACTCTCTAGGGGAGACAGAGCACATCTTGCTTGAGGGCGGTGTCCAGTACTTCAGCAAGTGGTCAATCACTATCTCGGTCAATGTAATTTTGTCGCTGTCTTTTGTGGTGCCAGCGAACGCAGCGATTTCGTCCACAAGTTCGTCAACTTCCTTGTCTTGAGGTTTACGTTTATTGTTATCATCTTCGAAAAACATACAGACCGCTTCCTCGTACTTTCGGACCGTGCAGCATTCGGGCATAGGAGGCAAATCCAAGTTCACATCTGATCCCACCTCTCCGTACAGACGGGTTGAATAGCACGGAAGATGTGAGATTCGATTACCCCAAATTGTGCCGACACAGTGCTCCGAATTGTGGATTGGCAGCTTCGATATGATGTCCCCATGCTTCATAGCCGTCAACCGTTTCTTCACATATGGGGCTCTTTTCGGAGGACGTATTGCTTCGGCCCATTGTCGGAGCCCTAGAGGAATCCTTTCCACTACCGGAATCCTTTCCACTACCGGAATCCTCTTTAATCGTGTTTGGTCGCAAAGATGATAGAAAAAACGGTCCTTTAAATCCTGCCACGAACCCGATTTTGTTCCTTGGTTAATATCTTCCTTTCGAAATGCCAGACTTCTCTCACGATCAATACGTAAGTCTCGCATACCGAAAGATAAAGCACGTCGAAAGTTTCTCGCAAAATCCTCGAAATCAAAATTACTTGACCATGATTGGCAGTGGCGGTTAACCACGGTTTCGAACAATTCTTCTGTGTATAATACTCTTCCATGTTCTGGTGGAGATGCGTAATACGACAGGGTTGAGATTTTCTTCCGCCCTATTTTAGCAGCGGCTCTGGCAAGACTAGTAACTGTTCGACAATTGCCTTGTACATCCCATTCTCTTCTTACCTCTTCTGGTATCATATGATTCCAATCATACAGAAGAATGTCATACGCCCAAAACCAAAAGGGGCCATATAACTGTTGTTGGGGAACCACAGAAGCACGTAACCCGCCTTCCGATGATTTCCAATCCGTATCACCTATAAGACTAAAGACACGTCCACTCGCACTCTCTAACCCATTCGACAACTCCTCCGATCCCTTACGGGCAAGAAGCGCAAACAACAGGGACATACCCGCTAGGGATACACCCGTCATCATTACACTAACATTCACCGTGGTGGTTTGTTTGGCTTCGATACTTCGCATTACGAAACAACTTCACTTGATATGTATTGTCGGGGATATTAACAATTGCTCCTTACCCGAACCAACTGAGACCAAACGCAGGGAGCGACCAAAATGCATGAGGTATGCTATAAACGAAAGACTGAACACACCATCCAGAACCTAAGGACTGACATAACAGAATAAGCCAGAACAGAATAAGCCAGAATAGAATAAGCCAGAACAGAAGAAGCCATAGATAAATGAATGAGCAATGTAGTCAGTAGATGCCCCTAGTTAGTCATTTAACGGCATAACAAGAATGTCACATGCTCATGTTTACACCGTGCGTACATCGACTTGGCTGACAATAAAATGTGTCAGCCTTCAGTAGCTTGTTTGGTGTTCGTAGTCCCCTAGGATTAGGATGAAAAAGTCTGGGCTTTGTCAGCGTAGGCGCCTGAGATGCCGGTCCATGCCCATCATGTACTCAGTACCCATGGCGTACTCAACTAAGTCTCAGCTACTCCTCGGACAACAAAACACATTCCGGCTGAGCATCTCCCGACTGAGCACCTGCCGGCTGTCAACTCCTTCCCACCCGCCATGCACCTGGTATGTGGTTTGTCCGCCACGTAATAGTTGTTCGAACACCTTGTATTTCTGCTGTGAGGTGATTTCTGTATGTTGTTTTGATAAAAAACGATGGGCGGAAAAAGCAGCGAAAAAGCGCAAAAAGGGCACTCAGTTTTTTGGTAGGAAGGTCCTGTGGTCAGCGAGGGCGCTGAGGTATGGTATACTGGGGGCGCTGAGGTATGGTATACTGGGGTATGTGGCCGTAGGACTGTACGCCAGCCGTCATATTTAAAAATAAAAGGAGTGGCATGCATACGGCTCATTTAGCGGATGCAGGTTATGACGGGCAGATGTATAGCGACGCCTGGGGTCAGGGGGAGCCGGACTCTGCTGACGAGGAGGCCAGCTTCGCTAAGATAGACCGCGCTCTGGCAATGGAGGTGAATATTCCGTTGGACAATAAAGGAGAGTTGGTAACTTTCCGAGAGGTGCGGCAGTGGAAGATGCCTACGTTGATGGAGCTGACTCGGTTGAAGGAACGGATCAACAACGAGTGGATTAAGCCTCTGAATTTGAAGCAGCAGGATATAGTAAATGCGTCGGGTCTCGGGGCGCCGTACGTTTGTTACCTCTTGAAGGATCCCAACAGTCCCAACATGAACCGTCGGCGCAAGATTGAAGTTTATTCGGTTTTAACGGAGCTGTTCAGGAAATATGACTCAAAGGTGGTTACAAAGGATGACTTCACTCGTCTGCGGAATACCCGCATAGCTAATCGCTTCCAGGGACCCCGCCAAGACAGGACCAACCGAGCTGCCGGCGCTGCAGCCAATGCGGTGAAACAACAACGAAGAAGAAGACGCCGCGGACCATATGGTGAGGAGGACGATGGGGACGAGGATGACGCCAGCACCGTAGACGAAGACCTCCAGGATTCTACTGCCGGAAGCTCTACTAGAGCCCGCAGAAAACGAAGACAGCTTTATGGACAAGGTAAGCACCGATATATGTTCACTTTGCGCGATGCACCACGGTTGTCAACATCAATTTACGCTTAGCACACGCGTGTGCTGGCGGTAAATGGATTTATGCAAACGTGTGCATTTTTCTGTCCTGCACTAGTCGTTGCGCTTTTTATGTCCTAATGGTTGTTGGACAATGCTACCCTTTTGCAGGTGTTCCTGGCGGCGCGTATCCCGGATATGAAATGGGTTATATGAAAGGATATTACGGTCAACAGTATCATCCTCAGCAGCAGCCGCAGCAGTACCCGATGCCGTGGATGCCGTCGGCGAACGTGCCCTACTGGCCTCCTCATCAGTACGTATATGCCTACGCGCGCGGTCAGAGATTCAACGAGCAAGGCGAAGTGCTTCCTTTAGGTCCAGAAGGCCGGACGTTTGCAGCGCCATATAGCCAGGGTTTTCCGCCTGTGATCAGGAACATCACAAGCCTTCAGTCTGTGGTGGACGGTCCGCCGCCTACGGGTGCAGTCGCCCCAGATTTGGAGGGGGCGGGCGCTGGGACGGCGTACGCTCCGGCCAATCCCATAAATAATGCAGCGCATGATGCCTGGGTGAAGAGCAAGTTGAATAAACAGTGTTTGATCCCGAAGATCGAGAACTCCCAGACGGTCTGTCGCGAGCCAAGCACCCATGCGTTTGTCTTCTTGGTCGAGCCCAACAGTTGCTTGCTGCCTGTGGGCGTTCGGATCGGGTCGGACACGACCTCCACTACCGCAGGTGATAGCGCAGCCGACGACGACCTGTGGAACATTTCCGCGCTGCGCCGTTATGCTGAACGTGAAGACTGGTTGGCCGAGAACCGGGAGTGCGACGATTCGCTGTGGGTGCTCTGGGACATTCGCGAGAGTGGCGCTTCTGTCCAGTCTTTGTTTGAGCGCTGGCGACACGATCACCACCTGAACGAAGAGCAGCTAAACGCATTGGCGCGATCGTTCCTGTCACAGTACGTCTACTTGAGGGACACAGAGCTCGCCTTCCAAGCGCTCCTGCCACATGCCCCCCCAAACGAGGAGTTTAGCCGCGCTGTCGAGATTAACTGTGACCTGGTCGAAGAGCGCATCCGAGTCAAAGATAGCTTCGTGTGGGACATACGCGCCTCCGACTGGGATCTAACCGCCCTGCTCTCCAACTTCGTGAGCGACTTCCAGCTGGATAGCCCTGCCATCTCTTCGCTCTTCATCGATTTGAAGATTACTATACTCCGGTACCGAAAGGACTGGGTGGCTAGCATGCTCGAACGGCTCACAGCCGAAGGGAAAATCGATCCATCCAGAGTCATACCACATACTATGGGCCTCAGCAGATGAGCCTCCCCCCCTCAGCGTTGACCCTGCTCTTGCGTTGACCCCGCTCTTGCGTTGACCCCGCTCTTGCGTTGACCCCGCTCTTGCGTTGACCCCGCTCTTGCGTTGACGAGTATTTTGTGGCAACATTTTTTTGGCGATGACATGGTACGCTTCAGTACCCTTGGCAATCTGACGGAAGTCACGCTACGCAAAAAGTACAAGCTCGTTCTGGGCAATAGTCTGTCCACGATGGGCGTCACTCTAGCACTCGACGTAGCAGGCTGCACAGGTAACAACAACACCACACAACCAGAGGGACCATAAAACCAGAGGGACCATACATCCGACGGTTGGTTACAGTGTATTGCTGTAGTATGCTTTCTGGTGACGCCCCCAATGACCTTCCTACCTGCGTTGTTTGCCCGGCTTTTGTGCCTCAGTCACGTGCTCATGTGTTGCGCCCTACTGGTACTGGACCCAGGTATAGTCCGCACGACCGAGTTCCCTGTCGAGGATGCAGCGGAACAGGGGATCACCGTATACAGATGCCCCGACTGTGACATTAAATACCATAAGGACGCTGACATATACCACTGCGATGAATGCAACCTGTGTATACGAGGACAACATCACGTAATCATTCACCCCCCCCCCCCCTTGCCACTACTAGCGGGCTCCATGTCGCCCCTAGCATTATGACGCCCTAGCATTATGACGCCCTAGCATTATTGTAGCACTGCACGTTCTTGGCGAAATGTGTTGGCCGGAACAGCCAGATCCTCTTCTGGATTTGGATCATTGTCCTCGCCGCTTCGTTCGTTGTTCCTCCTCTGCTGGCGGCTTCCTACGAGATTCCAAGAATAAAGATAGTCGGAAAACCCGCTGAAAAACCGATATGATTCTATTCATTACAATAATCGCATCCGCGATGGTGGGGGCTTTAATGAAGGCTTCAAGTGAGGGCGCCGCTGCCCTCAATTCAGATGGAGGTAAATTCTTCTACTTAACCTAACTGGATTTCAGGCAGCCTATGCCAATGCTCCATAAGGCCCCTTACAGCAACCGGCACCACAAATAGCCAGTCCTTTATTCAGTTGCCGATCGGAACAATAAACCAGATCTCTAGGCTAGCAGCGAACATAGATTTTGGGGATTCTCGTAACCACAGATAGTGAATTACTAACATATCCCGCTCACTCCGCGCAGAATCTCCGGACCGCACACGCGTGTGCAGCAGCATAAACATGGCAGATCAATCGGAACTTGAAGCCTATAGGATGGCAGTGAACCTGCTTATCTTGGGCTTACTGACTACTCTCATGGTCGTCTTGGCTGAGGTACGTTTCCACGATTTCAACTTTGAGATGGTTGTAGGTTACGAAATCATTTATCCCCTTCTTCACGAAGCTTCTCTTCGTGATATCTGGGTTTGTTGTGGGAGGTGGCTTAGTTCTTTATGGAATAATTATGGTATCGAATACGGTGTCAAAGCACAGGAGGAGTACAAAGATCGATTAAACGGGACGTTAAGGTGCATATAACACGAAGCACCAAAATGGGCGTTCAGCGGCAGACAGTTAGCGCCGAGCCGACAGTTCCGGCCGTTGGAACTAAACCATGTACAATCAAAGAAAGATTGATGCAAATTACGCAAACAAATGGAGAATCCAAAATAGCGTTGAGCCTGCTTTCATTGGCGAGCGTCATGATTACTGTGGACATGATAGGATCCTTGATGTCTCCCTACTGGCGCCAAACTATACTTTCAGGACTCCAAGGTTTCGCCGTCACCTTCGGTATATTCGGCATCTTACCCTTATATTTGCTGAAACGTCGTGAAAGACACGCGGCACGCTGATCTTGTCAGGACATTTGCCTGAAATCTTCCGGCGTTCTATCCATATAAATCCACGCGCATGATTGTTGCTTTTTCAAGATCTGAGCCGCATCTGGATCCGCAAGATTTTTTCGAAACTGAGGCGACCTGATTAACGAGCGCAAAATAACGAGACATTGAGGGAAAAGCAGCCGGCACGCATACTCCGGATCATTCCAATATTGCAGGTAGTGCAGGAACTGAATAAATTTCGGGTCCTCGAAATACTTTTCTTTAGCCAACCCTAGAGGTATGACGGGATGTATGTCGCGTCAAGGTCATGTAGAGTGCGTTTGGAAACAATCAAATGCGGTTTGGAAACAATGGGGAGGGTTTGGAAGCCACGGGAAGGTATTTAGAAACTGGGAGTTCCAGGAAACAAAGTTTGAAACAAAGAAGGGGGAGTATGGCATAATCGAAGAAAGGGAGGGGGGGGGGGGTTATTACAATGAAGGTAGTCTGGGTTGCTCAAGCTTTGAACGAATTCCAGTTCGCATATGAACCTATGGCGAGAGATTGCTGGCGCGTCATTTTGCAGGAAAGGGTTGCTCATATATTAATTTCTCAAGTGTCCATTTCTGTTCAACTTTCTGCGGCGCACGTTTGGGACAAGTGCACGGTTGGGACAAGTGCACGGTTGGGACAAGTGCACAGTTGGGACAAGTGCACGCAGATGTCATGGGTCAGCAATGGGGTAGTCTGGTTCCTGGTTGGGAGTGTGCTGGTGGTCGGTGTCTTGGGTGCGTGTATTGACTTGAGTGAAGAGTTTCGCATGTATGTCATAAACCTGGCCCATCATACAGAGCGGGCTGAGTATATCCGCTCGACCTTTTCTCGCAAAGAACATGGAGTGAGGTTTGTTACTGCTGTCAACGGACTGGATCCGGAGGCCTTGTACGCACAAGTCAGCAACCTCGATGACCTTGACAGACTAAGGAATGATGGAGACCGCTATACGCTCTGGAAGACAGGCGCGACGCGAGGCCAGCTAGGCAATACAGTTAGCCTGCTGAATGCGATGGCGCAGGCGCTTGAGGATGACATGGAGTACGCCATCATTGCGGAGGATGACGTTGCGGACGCGACCAAGTGTCTCTTCCCGGCGCCTTTGTCTTCATACGTGGCTTACGCCAACAAGCACTACTCCGGCTGGCATAATATTAGGCTGGAATGGGGAGTCCACCGACCCGTGGTCAATTTGATCAAACGGTACTGGTACCATCAGGTCAAAAAACGACTGACAGAGTCCGCACTTAGGCAGACCCCGTCGGATATCCCCGAACTGGGCCGGACCTATGGCCATTGGACCGGAGAGGAAGACTTCCCCATTTTGACTCCCAGTACCGCAGGCTGGGGCACTGTTGCGGTTCTTTGGAGTCGGGCGGGCATGCAGTATCTGACGTCCGCCCTGCAGGCGGACGCAGACAACGAGCAGCATCCAGCGCGCTGGACCTGTCCGCGGGAGTACCGCTGCATCAGTGACAACTTTTTCTGGCATCTTGGACCGCCCAACACGACCCTTATAACAACTCCACCTCTCATTGGCTGCCGCATGGCCGAGAGCTCCACCGCAGAAATACGCGGTAGGAGAACAAACAACCTTTTGACACACGTCGGCATTACCGCCATCAACACGCACTGGTTACTAGAGACCTACGAAATGCTGCAACCACGTCGCCCCGGGATCGACACATGGCCTCCATTGCTTCAATACAGCGTCGGCAACGCTGTCTGGAGCTGAGATGCCGACATAATCGAGAGCAATTCGCGCGCGCACGCGTGTGCACACGCGTGCGCGAATATCTCGCGCACAACGGAGCGGGCATATATTTATTTCCGGTATGTTCTCCCATGGTCGACTGTTGAACAAGCGCCGCTGGCTTATCTTGGACAAGCGTAGCAGCGCTGTGGAGTCCCTATACGACGACCTAAAGTCGGTGGCGACTGTGGAGGAAGTGTTAAGTCAAGTGGAAAAGGTGATTTGTGGCGCTGCTACCGTTGTCGTCTCAGACGCGTCCAAGGTCGAGGATTGGGACGGGTTTCTGGCCAAGTTGAAACAGTTGATGACTGGATCTGGCGTGAGACTGAGTATATACGTAGGCAAGGGTGTGGCAGCAGACATTGAGCTGTCCCTATTGTTCGCAGGGTTTATAAATGTAGAGCAACGTACTGACAGTCATTGGGAATGCACTACGCCGGATTTCGACGTTGAAAGCAAGACGTCTATAAACCAGGACAATGTACTTGTGGATGACCAGAACCTGGACAAGACAGTGCCGTTAGTGACCCAGGCATGTGGTCCCCCGGGGAAAAGGAAAGCCTGCGCCAACTGCAACTGCGGCAGAAAAGAAGATGGCGTGGTCAAATCTGCATGCGGAAGTGTAAGACGACCTCTTCCACCCTTGGCGGCTCTTTCTGCAGCCATCCTACTTTCTCCGACCGACCCTCCCTTTCACTCTCTCTCTTGGTAAAAATTCTTTTCTTCAGTGTCACTTGGGGGACCCGTTCCGTTGCAGCACCTGTCCTTATTTGGGGCAGCCCGCGTTTGACCCAAATGACCCCAATCGGGTCAAGCTAGTTTTGTAGATAAGACATCCTGTCAAATCCACAAGTCAGCTTAAATCTTTTTGTTTTTGAATATACTGGTCATGTCCACTGACGCTCAGATTGAAGAAACTATCAAATATGTTACTGTAAGATTCAATGGTCGACTCAGCCATGCCGCGCCGGGCCAGAAGATGTGCACTGGATCTTGATCGTTGATGCGTCCCCGTAATCCGGGGGTGGCTGATCGTTGATGCGTCCCCGTAATCCGGGGGTGACTGACCCGATGGTCGGTCCGGGGATAGGTTTCGTCTGTGTTGAGCCCGTGGTGCATCCGCTGTTGTGAGCTAAGCCGTGGTGTTGCCCGTGTGTGCATATCGTGTTGATGGTCGCGTGTTGATGGTCGTGAGCGCATTGGGCTGGGGTTGCGTGAGTGGGTGGGGTTACGTTGTTGTGTGGCAGGTGCCTGTGGAGAAGGAAGTGATAGTGAAGGTTCCGAAGACTGAGTATGTGGATCGTATTGTGGAGGTACCGAAGGTTCAGTACCAGATGGTGGAGAAAGTAGTGGAGGTTCCGAAAGTGAATTTCGTCGAGAAGCTGGTGGAGAAGGTGCAGTATGTGGATAAGGTGAAGCCTATACCGCGCGTGAAGACGATTGAGGTGCCTGTGGAAACGGTGACTTATGTGAACAAGGTGGACGTACAAGTGGTGGAGAAGGAGGTGGAGGTGCCCGGTCAGATCATTGAGGTGCCGAAACGGGTGGAAGTGGTGAATGAGAAAATCGTGCACAAGTACATTGACAATGAAGTGCCGACCGTCGTGGCTCAGACATACCGCCCCAATGTCGAAGAGAGCCAAGAACATGTGCAGACGGCCAAGCTGAAGAAGTACGTCCCCTATCTCATCCCCGTCCAGGTATATGTACCGGTGGCAGTGGATCGGGACTTGGTCCCGGGCGAGCAGACTGAGAACATGAAGCAGGTTGACATACCAGCGCCGCAGCTAAATGCGCAAATCAAGAACCTGAACCCGAACCTCTCAGAGGAAGAATTACTCAAGCTCTACAAACGGAACCCCGATGGGTCAGTCGCTGTATTTGAAGGTCCCGGCACGGGGGTCATAAACCCGCAAGAGAAGCACCGCTTTGTCAACCCCGTCGGAACCGCCACTCCCGAAATGATCCAGACGACTCACGGCCAAACACGAATCCAGAACATGTCCATGATGAACCCCAGCATCTCAGTTACCCCGGGAAACTACGGTGGCACCATCACAACAAGTACGACACACTCCCGCCTCTGAATGAACGATACACCAAACGTGTGTTAACCTGCGTGTTAACCACCAAACGTGTGGGCTAACCGCCAAACGTGTGTTCTAACCACCAAACGTCCGAACTCTCCCCAACTGCCCGTCCACGACTCGGCTGCAGACTCCGCCATAGACCGGTCCTTCGTTAATCGCGTGGAAACAACTCTGAAAAATTCAGTCGGCTCTCAGGACGGCCGCTCGCTCAGCTCACGCGACGGCAGCCTTCGAGATGGTAGCTTGAGGGACGTCAACCTTCGCGGCGACACAGACATCCACACCAGGCCCACTCCTACTCGATTTGCTGCAGGCGATGTCCCTATCAACACCGGCTCGTGGGAGAGGGTTACTACGACCACTACCTATAACAATGCGAACGAATAACAAGGCGAATGCTTTTTCATTATGCACCAACCGGAGTGCTATTTGTAGTAGAATCGAACTTCAACTGAAAGGTGCCACCATTAAAAAAGTGCTGCTGTCTAAAATTGCTGCGACCGAAAAAGGATTAACAGACGCTACAACCCAAAAGTGACCCGATAGCAGTCCCAAATGCACCCCCCCTCCAATCTCCGTTCGCAACACACTTGGGCGTCTAGCTCAAATGGTAG